ATGACATGGCTCTTCATTACTGCGTCAGAGACCAATCCAAGTCTACTTATAAATCGAAAAAAACAGTCAAACATCATTTGGAGCCACATGTACATCTATCACTGTCTTAACAATATGTCTGCTTACAGAAGAAATCACAGAGACCAGTTGTACCTATGATGTCGGATGAGATCCTAATAAAAACCTTGGGTGCACTCATCACTACCTGCAAATAAATTTTAAATGACTAGTATCAACACTTTTTACTTCATCTGGGTTAGCCTTTATTTTCCTTCAAACAAAATCTTATAAGTACCAACCTGCAGGTGTAAATGTTTGAAACAATATTCTTGTCTCAAAGGAAATTCTCTGCCAATTAGCAGTGTCATGTGTCATGATTAATTGATGTCACAATTCCACTGCCAAAGAGTACCTCGGTTATTTGTTGCTGAATGGTGCCATATAAACCAATTTTCACAAAAACCTGGAAATATAAGTTGGAAGTGAGCATCTTCACAAAAAAGTGAATACTTTCTAAAATATTAACCATGATCTATTATGACTGTGTACATCCTATATACTTAAAATGAAATACACAAGTATAACTACCAAATATACAAAGTCAACTTCCTTAAATTTGTTTTAAAGTTTATGTATAGTGTATTAAAATAAACTGTAAAACATGCAATATTTGTCTTGAAGGATGTTTAATAAAATTTTATTTCTTGGAACAAATGTGCAAACACTCTGCACCTGTAAAATATAATGACAAATGTAGATGAAATGTTTTATTGTTGTGTGCCCTATGGGCCCAGTTAGGGCCCTTTGGGAGACACCATTAGATTGTTCTAGCTATGACAAATGCCTTCATTAGGAAAATTTTCTACTTCTTATTCCTACTTTAAGAAAGAAAAAATGTCTGTCTCATAATTGTAAGAGTATTTCTGAAGAGAACCACAAGGCTATACGGGTTATATTGAAATTGAATACCCGGTATATATAGAGTGAATACATCCCTGTGTATGATCCATGAAAGAAGTAATGTTTGACATGTTTATTTCTGGATAGAGTACATAACACGCTGATCTTTTTTATTTCTACTGTATTTATCTAAGTATAATTTTATTAATGAATTTAAAAAAGAACATTATTTCTAACAGGATTATGTTTTATCTACGTACTAATCAAGCCTGTATTCTTGTGATCGAGTATATGTACATGCATTTCCTATTTGAAATTTATTTTCATTGACCTAATTCATTCTATGTACCTGCCCTGTCAGCAAAATCAATGAAATAAATCGATGGAACCAATCTGTATGATACCTTTTAGTTTTGACACATTATTACAGCTTTAAAATTATTTATATTTCCCTTTATGGTTTAAAATGTTCCCCAACCACACTGCTAATCGTAACCTATTCAGAATGGTTTGTATGTACGTCATTTAATAAAACAATAAAGCAATTAAAAGCTGTTTACATGTATCGATCATTTCATTTTTTCCTCTTCTTTTCAATAACCGGGAAACAAACGACATGACAGGCTCTTCTAGTCCACCGCGAGGCTTAAAACTAAATGTGAAGAGGTAATCTATTGTCTCCAAGAATGAAGATGTACCCGGAAGTTAGAAAACGAAAGTTAAAGTTAACGAGACTTACAGACCCTATATGGAATACGTTCAACACATCTACATTTATTCTTCTATTATCACTGAACATCTCAAGTTTCTGTCTTATATAAGCCATTTTCGAGAAAACCCGCGGACAAACTAAACCTCGAAAATTCACGAAAAAGCAAAAATCTCGAAAACCGGAAAATTAAAATTAAAATAAAAAAAAATATTTATATTCTAGATTTTTTCATGTTCTATCAGACCTGACCGTTTCATGAAAATCGAGAAAGCTGTTTCCGAGAAATCGCGTGCACAAATCTATAAGAAAAAAAGAAAAAAAACTGGAAAAGAAACCTAAGAATAACAGAAAGGTTTTCCGTTGGAAACGATTCCTCTTTAAGATAAAAAAGAGTAAAATTTGGAATTGGGAGCATTCCATTTTTGATTGGTTCGTCAAAGATTTTTTTTCAGGTAATATTAAGTTGTTGATATTTTTCTTATAATGCTCCCGCCTCCTTTTTTTATATCGCCCCGTTGTGTCTTAAATTTTCTTCTAACATGGCAAATGTAATAAATTTTAATGCTTTACAAACAAATTCAAAGAATTTGGTCCCCCGCTTTCGGTGTCTCTGTATGTGGGATCTCATTTTTTGATGGCATATTGTACGAAATCCCAAATGAGTCATTTGATTTAATTACAATGCAAGAAAAGTGTTATATAAATTAGAAGGAAATTTGAATAATCATTGGATCCTTAATCAGCAAGATATACTTCAATTTATATTATGGCTTCTTAAATATTGATTAGAATACATATATCAGGAGTACATATATTTTTGTATTGTCTACTTTGTTTAAAGGGTTGATGACATATTAATAAAGTAATAAATAAGTGTAAAGTGTCTTAAGATTAGCAATAACCCCACTCCTACACACCCCACCTGTCCATTTTTCAAAACACACTTAAAATGTTACTTTGTAAAACTTGAAAGGCGACATAGTATTGATAAAAAAAAATGGCGTTGGTTTTCCTGATAAAGGAAATGCATGAAAATGAAGTATTAAATAACTTATATTCATCTAAAGGATTTCTTGAATCTATTAGAAATTATATATATACAATACAGATTGGCAATATGAACTAAAATAAATGCGGCATTTATTTTATTTTATATTAAATAGCAGATGAGTCTAAATTAGATGCAGACCTATAGCGTTATGGTTTTATATTTAAGTCTCTGACCATATCGTTATAACCGAAGGCTTAAATATACTCGTGAAACCTTATAACGCTACAGTACGATCCAGCAGTCAAGTCTCACTGCACAAATGTACCGTTTATAAATGTAATGAAATATATACCCTTGAACTACTGTGCAATGTAGAGACGATTCATAGTATTTCATATCTAATTATAATCAAATATAATATTCTCCCTCAGCAATGATCTGAAAAAGAAAATAGTCGATCTACTTGTTCGGCAAGTCAACGATATAATATAATATACGTATTTACTATTTTATTTAATGAGAAAAGTCAGATTATTTAATATGTATTTTTCAAAATGTAATAAAAAAAATAATTTTTTTTTCGTTTGAATACATATTTTTTTTTTCATTATCAATTTAGAAAATGACCCATTTTTTATAAATATATTCAACGATTTCTTGGTAGTAAAATCATTACAAAGGGGAGTAATCAAATTTTGAACCCGCTTTTGATTGGTTAGTTTGGATCTTGAATTTCGAAACTCCAATTTGAATCTCGAATTTTGAATCTCGTATTTCGAAACTCGAATCTCGAATGAGCCTTCTGGGCTTTCGTTCATGTGGTGTCAAATCTTATTTTTATCACAGGTAATGCATATGTTAAATATGAAAGCCCTTTCTCTTTTCAATCAAAATTTAGGGTAATTCCACCCTGCTATGATGTCATAATGTTTTGCAGAAACTGTCATTAATTCAAATTCATATCCAAATAAACAATACTTTTGAAAGAATTCTTTTCAATAGGTGTAATGATAATTGTTGTTAATAAAAAGAATTTAAAAAATACATTTTCCAATATTTAATTGATTATTCAATCTTGAAAAAATGTTGACTAGGGCAATAAATCCTCAGGTATCTTCACTCAGACATTTTCTTTATTGTACATCTAATGTAAAATAGTTTCACTGATATTCAAAATACAAAAGTTTCTTATAAATAACATGTATTTCGGAACTTTCAACATCAGAATTATGCATTTGAACTAGTTTTTTTATAATGCCGTTTACATACTTTGCACAATTTTGTCATGATCATGTAGACATAAACTTTTGTTTATTTTTGTCTCTCATTTTGACTAATATGGTGACCTATACATTTTTGCTATCATTGGTAAATTTAAACTAAATTATATGAAGATAGATGCTGATTTTGTTCTTTGAACCATTAAATTTGCGAGGGTGGAAAAACCTTAAAAAGAAGTGAAACACTGTTGACCCCGCATGGCAAAATATCAAAGATTAAACTTTTCTAAAATGCAAATGAAATATATTGGTACCCAAATTAGGGCCATCTAACAAGAAATGCTTTTGTGAAATATAAAAGCCTTAGCACCACCTGTTCAAAAGTTATGATCAAGGATAAGTTTTTGAGAGGTATGTCAAAATCCAAGGTCAAAGGGTCAAAGTTGATAATTTCTTAAGAAAGGTAGTGCCACAAGTATCACATTTGTAAAGTTTGAAAACCCTAGCCCTTACCGTTCTATAGTTATGAACAAAATTTTAAAAAGAAATGTAAAACTCTAAGGTCAAGGTCAGAAGGTCAAAGTTGTTTGTATCCAATAAAAGGTCTTATCACAAAGATTACATACATGAAGTACGAAATTCATAGCCTTTCCTGTTCAAAAGTTATGGTCAAGGTTATTTTTTAATAAGTACGAAAATCTCCAAGGTCAAGGTCAAAAGGTCAAAGTTATTGGTATCCAATGAAAGGTCTTGCCATACACAATACATATGTGGAATATGAAAGTCCTAGTCTCTACCTAACACAGGTTATGGCCAAAGTAAAAGTTTGGAATTATTTTAAAGGTGGGTCAAACTCCAAGGTCATGGTCAAAAGGTCAAATTTGATGGTATTCAAAGAAAGTTCTTTTCACAAAGAATACACAATTTCATGTAAAATATGATAGTCAATCAAACGTTGTGAGCAGGGTTAAAGTTTTCTTGATGGACAGACAGACTGACTGACAAACCGGCAGACTGAAGGACGAATGAGATTTAATGTCCCCTCGCTTTCGCGAAAACGGGGGACAATTAACGAATATGTGTCCTTTAAACAATGAATTTTATAAAAAATACATATAAAAATAATGTGATTAATAGTTTAATCAGATGTTTCTTTTTCACCTTGTTACAGGTTTGACAAGCGAAATAAACGGGGAGAATGATCCATTGGTTCTTTTTTTGTGTAATGTGGAGTGGCTCCACTTCCATAAATATTGTGCAACTATTCACAGGTGACGGCAACGGAAGTCTAAGTCACATGGTTCTGAGCAATGACAGCTTGTTCATTGGAGCCACAAACATAATTTATCAACTCGACCTTGATTTAAACTTAGGAATTCCGGCAATCACTGGTCCCCATAATGACTCTAGAAAGTGTGGAATGAATTTGATGACTTGTTCGTCGTTGTCTGAATTGTCACCGATGGACAATCACAATAAAATTTTATTGATTCATTCCGATATGCTTGTGATATGCGGAAGTCTATTCCAAGGGAAATGTGAAATTAGGAATGTAAAGAACATCACAGAAGTTTTATTTTTTGGAAATACAGCCGTGGCTTCCAATGAAATCGATGTGAACAATATTGCATTTATTGCTCAAGGACAGAATAGTGATGCTAAAGCGATGGAAATGATTTATGTAGCAACCGAATTAACAAGGTTTGATAAGTCAAAAAATTCCTTAGAATTTAATCTTAGACGATCCCATCCCCTTGTTAGCACTCGACTTTTCAATTTTTCACTTCTTGGAAAAATTGCATATGAAATGGACAATAAATATGTGAAACCGGGTTTGATATTATATATAAATGGATTTGCTTCAGGAATATATAGCTACATCTTATTCAATGAACAGAATCCAGATGATACAACACACTACTCTAAAATTGTTCATATGTGTAGGAGGGATGACCTATTAAAAACGTTTTTGGAAATACCATTAATTTGCAAATCAAATAGCAAAACTTTCAACATTTTGAAGGCTGCACAAATATTTAAACCTGGTCTGATACTATTGAAATACCTTCAGAAACAGTTCCATTACATGACGTCAGCAGATGATGTAATGGTCGGACTTTTCAGTCATGGTGAAGACAAAAGTTCAGCTTTATGTCTGTTTAGTATGCCAGAAGTGACAAAGACAGTCCTTAGTAATGTAAAGAAGTGTCTTAATGGAAGCACGGAGTATGCAGCCAAATTAAAGTACAAAAATGGATTAAAATGCACAAAAATAGACCTGGTAAGGACCGTAAAAAGATTTGTTTTATTAAGAGTAGCTGTGATATTTCATGCCATATTTGATTGCTTTTTTAAACCTGATTCAATTCGATTTGTTAAAATGTTTTAAGTCCTCTCGAGAGTTTTTCACTCATGTAATTATAATATAAAAAAAATTAATTGTGGAAAGTCTTAGACTTTTTATTGCTAAGAATAGTACCATTCACCATGTCTTTAAAAAACGAGAGTCCGAATTAAAAAAAAAGAATACGCATTTATTTAAACCCTAATTGATCTTGTTTATGAAAGCCATTCCATAAGTTAGTTCAAGACAATTTTGATTACGTCGCGCAAGTTAAAATAGTAGTTTTTGTGACACAATTAACACAATAACTGGTGGTTAAATGAACAACAGTATAAATCAAAGATTGGTAATCCCAACAGCTGTGATAACTAAAATGATGTTTTTGCTCACTGAACTTTAAAGCAATTTCAGTGTACCTATATTAGTAGTGTGAGATAATTGATTCATTCATGGAACGATGTTTTAAAACTACACTTTTTGCGGAATTACCAATAACATAAATATAGCCATGAAACGGGGGAACATTTTCTTTAATTTTATTCACATACAGACGAGCTGAACTACGAGGGCTATTCAATAAATAATATCCTCGGTGCTCGGAAAGAAACAATGATTTAATCTTACGTTTGTAAGGATTTCACTGAAATATTTTTCTTTTAATTACATTTTTTTAAAAGTCTGAACAATTTCCAAAATTATGTCTTTCAAATTTGATAGGTGCCTTAAAGGCATTCATAAATCATCAGTGAGTATTTGTTCAATTTTTGCAAACAGTACTTTGGTTGTTATTATCCCTTGTCACCAAGGACGGTACCCATATTTGATGACCATTATAATTTTTTGTTCATTGAAATGCACCTACTCAAATGTCTGTAAAAAAGACATTGATTGCCGTAAATATTTCATTGAATATTTATTATGGATTTTAGCAAATTTTACAACAGCTTTGATGTAGCGTTTGATTTACACTAGTTTACTGTTTTTTACCCTTCATTTTTATTGCAGTGTCTCGAATAGCCCTTGTTTTCTAGCTTCTCACAATGAAACTAGGTGATGAATAGTGGTCACATAAACTGATATCAATTCCTTAAAGATTCAATAATGAAATAAAGTCAAGCTTTATGTCATATGATATCTATGTTGAATGTCAGAGTTCAGCATATTATTTACTCTCATTAGTCTGGGAGGCTTTCGACCAAATTTATATTTTTATTCTTGTCAAATGTAATATCTTGTTTTCAAAAACATGATTGTATTCAAGTATTTACATATAATTATATAATCAATAAAATTATTTTTCTTTGGTATAGGAATAAAATAGAATCCAAATTTAAATAACAAAACCAAAATTTTATCTAAAACACATCTGCCCTGTGGGCTCATCTGGAATACAATGGCATGAAAATGGCATGAAATTGTAAACAAGTTAAATTATGAAGTCATTCTCGTGACGTTATGTAGTCAACGTTATACATAATGATTGTAACGTAATAACAATCACAATTAAACAAGGTGCACAGATGGAGTTTTACAGTTCATCTGATCAAAGTTTAGCGCCTATTATTGATGTACAATAATGGAGACAAAATTTACATTAGAAAATAATTTGAAATAAATTTCTTTTAAGAGTTCAATTTTGGTTTAATCAGATTTAAAATATATTAATTGGCTTTTCGTAATTGTTCGACCGTGTTCGCGTGCATAAGTAACAGATTAAAAATCTAACCATAAGAAACACGCCATGCAATGAACCCTTTGATTCCTGTGGCAAAGAACATTTTTATATTTCTCCGTTTTACAAAGCTAAAGAGGAAAATGAACAATTTCGAAATTTTAGTTAAAAATTTGAGTTTTGTTACTTAAAGAGCATGAGCCATCTTATGCATAAAATGGCCCTGTACTTATATCAATTAACTATCACTCTCTTTCCCATTTCACATATCAAAATAAATTAGACACATAGTTCTTTCATTTTCTATAATAAAATTTCGTTTCAAGAATCCAGATATTGGAAAACAAGTTTGAGAAATTGCAATGTTCTTGAAATTTGCAGAAAACATGACATGCATATTTGATTACCTTCAGAAAAGAATTAAAATATGAGCACAGCCTACGATATAAAAAAGTTTTTTGATCTTCAGAAACGTTTCTTTATGTATTTGCATATTTTGGATCAGAGGTTTTTTTTTTTTTTAAAATGCTTCAACTGTAGGTCATTTTCAAAAGAATTTACAGGATATGAGGAAAATGACGCATTTGATGACATAATATTGACTAGATGGGAAATTACGTTACAATTAATAGATACCTAGTCACCAACACTCCAAGTTATGAATACTGCATTTTCAACCTGAACTGAGCGGTTTTGATTTTTCAGAATTTCTCAGGGCCAAATAAAGAAGTAGCTCTTGCTCTTTGGATTTTATGATTAAATATACATTTGTACATAGAATCCTTTCACATGCCAATCAGCGTTTTGATATATCTCCAATTATTATATGAGTGTCGTATTTTCATTTTCTCCTATAAGGAAAAATAAGGATTGTGAACAGAGTAGAATGTCATAGTATATATATATCTACTATATATATCATATCAGATATGATATACATATATGATATACATGTGATATGATATACATATCAGATATATATATCTGTATGTATATATACATGTATATATATATATATCATACAAAATTTGTGAACAGTCAAAAACACGAACCATCATAACATCCAGAGGTATAATCATGGGTGTAGAGAGAGTATGAGCTGTCTTCTGTAGACAGGCAAAGCCGACCTGCTCAAATTACTTACTGATAGACAAAACATTTCATAATCAAAATTTGCAGAAGAGACTTTTTAATTAGTATGGAACATGTCAGCCAAAATAAGATGAAATGAAAAGTCATTATATAGACCACAGGATTTTGAAATACTGACTCTAAACAAGTTTTTTTGGAATCCTTAAAACATAAAACTATCTAAAATTAGCTGGCTTCAGTTAAAAAAAGTCACATAAACTGGATCAACATAAGAAAAATTATGTGTGAAAAGCTGACGTCATCCCTTTTTACAAACATGGTAATTTTTTTTATTTATTTCATTTTTAATTCACACAACATGCAGCATTATAAACATAAATCGGAATTCAAAGGAATAGATGTGAGTATTCTTTAATTTTTTTTTTGAGAGAGAGAGAGAGAGAGAGAAAGAGAGAGAGAGGTTAAAGTTTAGAGATCAGCAGATTTCATCTTTTCCACTGGGTAAATATTTTTAGATTTCATTGTTTTTAGTCAGTAAAACATAGATACATGTTTAGTACAAATAAAGCAGACTCTGTAGTGTCTTTTATTTCATTGTTTTTTGTTTTAATTTTTTAGTCTATATTTACTGATGATGAGTTGCTCTGCTCAAGTACCCTTAATTTGATAATTGATGGGAAAACTCCAGTAGTTTCAACCCCGGTCATCCAGTTTCCAGCAACAGAAGACAACCCGGAATCTTTGGCTGTCACTACAACAGGAGACCACACTGTAGCTTTTCTTGGTACATTTGATGGACATATCAAAAAGGTAACATGCACTTGTTAAGTAAACCGAACAACTGAATGTTTTTTCAGCATAATTGGATTTGAAAATTATAAACAAAAGCATATTAGTTAAAAATTGCAATACATATGTCTGAAATTTTATTTTTTACCTCGACTATTGATATACAAGGGGTTATCAGCTTGATACGTTCATTATTTCTCAAATTATTATAAAATAAAAACGACATTATATCAACACCCGGCGCCGTCGCCGTTAAGTTTTATGACGTCCGACAACGTCATTGTTTTCTAATGTATGCTTCTTCTACCCCATACACTTATTTTGATGAGATTCCTTGGAGCTGAGTTAGGATTCAATCTGTCTTGTTTATATGATTTTACAATGCCATGAACAGTGGCTTTTAATGTATATCATATTGCAAATGGATTTATAAATGGGAATAAAAGATCCTCACTTGATGCTGCCAGCATATTTCGATTTTTGGACTTCTATATCTACAACACATGATCAACATCAGTTTTTGACGTGATTGATTTTTCACACCCTGACTTCAAATCAACGTATCGTCCATTCCTTTTCTCTCTGAATCTATTTTGCATTAAAAAAAGCAAGTACTCTGGATGCATATTATTTCTCCGTAGCCAGTTTAAACATTTCCTAGGTCTATACCAACATTTTTTAAGGACAAAACTTTATAGAATGTTGGATAAGAATACCCCTTCCCCTTTTCTACATCATTTTCAAGCAATATTTTGATACTTGATACTTCATGTAAATTTAAAATACAATTTCATGAAACTTCCAGAATTAGGTAAAAAATTCCATATTTTATGGAACAATAAAATTTCCAATCGAATACTTAAATCAACGAAATTTTTGGACGCCAAATGTACATATCAAAATAGTTTTCTATCAATTAAACTTAGGTCGAAAAATGTCGTTTTCGATGTTGCGCTGCCTGTACATACCATTGCTTACCAAAACATTACTAATTTATAAAAAAAAATAAAATTTACGATTTTTTGTGTTTTATTCTATAGATAGAAAAGATTATGCTTACTAGCTATTTCAAAATTCATTGATGTACCTAAAGCGGTTTTAATTTGATAGCGCTAGTCCACGAACTTTTTGATTTTTGATACCCCCTCGTAGTGTTCTTAATGGTTAATAGAATGCTTATTGTTCTGCAAACGATAACTTTGTTTCAATCTTTTTTCTTTAATTGCACAATTTTCGTTTATAGGGTTTATGTCGTAAAAATTTAAACATAAAAATCACTCTTTGAGAATTAACCCGTAATAATGCATCTTGTCTATTTATAGGCGTCAATAGGTGACGTTGTTGTGAAGTGGGTTTCTTAACCTAAAACCTATTTACGTCTATACAATGGATGATCAATAGTAATTGTTTTATCTGTAGCCTTTTTGATTTATCGGTGAGCTACATTTTACAAAAAATGCAATTTTAATTACAATCTGAACAATTTTTGTATGCAAAAATGTTAAGTAAATCATTGAAAGAAAAATGAGCGAAAAATTATAATTATTTTTCCACTCTTTGGTGATTTATAGAGTAAGCTGATTTCAAATACGAAAAAAGAGCGGAAATAGAGAGGAAAAAAAAGAACCGAATTTGGGAAAATTAAATTAAACTTTATTTGTCAAGTGTCGCTCAAGTACGAGCAGGCACGTCCTTCAAGCTATTTTTTTATTGATATGGCCCATAAACACTTTTTAAGTGTACAATAGAAAAAAAAGGAAATAAAAAATCCCTTTGAAATCTTTCCATCACATCACAAGGGACCTCTAGAAAAAAAGATATGTCACTCCAACTTGTTTAAAATGTACAGCTTCAAATGAATTCCAGAAGTAATTTTCAAATAATTAAATAAGCGCCCGTTGAAAAATCCTGCCGTGAACACAACGAAATGATCCAGTGAACGAATTATTACATGAACCTTAAACATCCATTAAAGATCACTGCGTCAGACTTCCCTCTTTTTGTAGGTGTTTCTAAAAACATCCAGGGCAGCAGAGTTGTATGACTCCGCCATTGTAGTGGACAAAGGTCATGCAATAAAGCAGGATATGGTGTTTGAAGATTCCCAGATGTATCTTTTCGTCATGAGTGACAGAAAAGTAAGAATAATTTGGTGATTGAGAGTAGTCATGCTGTTATAACATCAATTATGTATTTTTTTGCAATTAACAGGAGAAAATGCAAACCTTGTAATAATTTTTTTTAATCTTCATAGCAATGTACTAGTAGTCCTTATTAAAATAAAAAAAAAAATAACAAACGAAAGTGCATGGATTTCTTGATGAGAGGTATACTGTCTATGTGTACAATCAAATCGCATTAAAAAAATAAATTTTAAAATAAAAAAGTATTATATGTACACATATACTGTGGAATCAATTTTATTCGTGGGGGCCAATGTTCGTGGGTAAGCAAAATTTTGTTGGTTCGTGTGGACGTTATTTCGTTGGTAACTCATATATACAGAAGATTCAATAAATAAACATGTTTTAAAAAATGTTCGTGGGGATATATATTCGTGGATAAGGGTGACCCGTGAAATCCTAGAACATTGGTTCTCCACGAATATTTATGATTCCACAGTAATATTCTTTAGTTTTGATAGAAAATATTTAAGAACAGTAAACTAATTTCAGGTGGCCAAGATTCCAGTTCAGAACTGTACCCAGTATGCGAAATGTAGGGACTGTTTGTTAAGTAATGACCCATATTGCGGATGGTGTGTCCTAAGCCACAGGTTTGTACAAAATTATGACATTTTCTGATATTTTTATGACATGTCAAATGAATTGTCCATTTTGTTTATAAATGATTGTATTGTGACAGCTACATGGTTTATGTATTTTGCACAAGGGTAAAGCAATGCATATTGCATGTGCATCTATTCATTAATTTAATTATGCATGTTTTTATTTGCAGCTCCATTCTGCGGCTGAATTACATAATCATTCATTTAATCTGTAGTTAAGTATATTGATTTTTAAATGATTCTTTTCCAGAGAGGTCCAGAGTTAGCCTCAGGGATCTAATTATATCCTAACCATGGTCATTTTGTATCTTTTAGTTTCATTGTTTTTTTTTATAGTGTTTTCTCATATTTTTTCGATCGATTCATGTTTTCCCTCCAAGATGTCTTTGTGTTTTTGTGGTAATTCTAGCTTGGCTGTCAAAGGTGATGAAAGTGTAATTTTTTCAGTTTTACAAATCAGATTTTTGCCTCTTGAATGGTAAGTATTTTTTATCATTATAATTAGTAATATGATTCTAATTTTATTAAATTGAAAATTGAAAACTGTAAATTGAAATTTGTAAGTTTTGCACTTAAGGGTCCTCCACACCATGTGACTTGTGACGTATATAGAGAAAAAATACTTTTACTTCCGGTTCGATCGAGTTTCTGTAAGAACGATTTAACCTAACACCGTTTGTAAACAATGAACACATGGCATCTGATCACGGAGTGACAGATGGAAAAAGATGTGCGGTTTTTTGTTAAATAAAAGAACAACAGACGTCTTGGATTATGTTACATAATAATTCGTAAACAACAGGTACCGGTGGATATGACGAAAAACGTTTAGATTATTTATCCTTTCAGGCTAATCAACCGCGTCTGTTTTGATAGTTGAAATTTCGGCACACTACTAGTAATTTGTGCGTTTCAATAATACATTATCTCATTGTTGTTTATAAATATTAATAAAATAGTGTGTGTTTCTAGTTTTCCTCTGTTATATTTGTCCAGTTCAGTGGCCAGTAATTACTAAATATAGTATGGTGACGTATGCGGAGACTTGCCAAAGTTTTTGAGTCCCGGGCAACATGAAAGATAACTCTAAAAAGGAACTTTGAAACCAAAGATTTGGAAAATGTTTTTTCTACATCACTGCATTTAATTTTAATTCAATTTTTTGATGTAATCTAATTCATTAATGTTTCTTCTCCACAAAAGGAGTCCTTATTGATTTTTCTCGAAATGTATTTCAGAGAAAATTTTTTTATGTACTTTTTATAAATAAAATAAATTTCTGTAAAAAATATGTTCATAGATAAAAATAATTTTTAATGGTTATTCTGTGAGCTTAAAAATATACGAAAGGATAAGACAAAGTTTGTTGTGCTAGGTATGAAAATGCTCTGGGAAAAATTTCTTATAACTTGTGAAATAATTATTTTAAAAAATCAGTATCAATTACATTTTAATCCCTGGACAGTTTTTAAAGGTTGATATGCTTGTTAAAAGTAATGCTCAATAATATGAGAGCATAACCTGTGGGTGTGTGGAGGACCCTTAGTTCATTAAATCACTTTTTTAGTAATGTATAGTGAGAATGAGACTGTCGCTATAGAGTTATGTATAAATATTATAAATACATTGCTGTTAAACTTTTTTCTAATTTTCTGAAGAAAAAATTATTTTATGATTAGTTTAAATATGTACGAAGTTGTTTATTGTTGCTTTGTAGATGTTGAGATATTCCTTCAGCTGTCTGTAGTGTTTGCAGCTTATACATGCTGTTTTATATGACCCATTCCCATTGAATGGTATGCATGATAATGTTTTCATGCTGAACAATAATTTATAATGAACATATAGTTTGAAATGACAATTATTGTAATATTTTATGATAAATATATTTTGATTAAAGAAGTGGGAGATTTTATAGTGTATTTTGCATCTAATTGCATTATCTGCCCTTGATACTGATAAAGCTATATAATATACTGATTGTTCATGTATATTGATTAGTGGCTTTATAGTTTTTATGCTGAATATTTATAATTTGTTATTTCAATACAGGTTTTTTTTTTACTTAATGATTCCATCATAATAAAGATATCATCTTCTTCATACCGGAATCAACAGTCTTGTTGTTTTTTTAACATCACCATTACACAGATCAGTTACATTTAGGCGCCCATATGGGGCTAGATAACACAAAAAACCATTGAAACTAACGGATACAAAATGACCATGACCAGAATATTATTAGAGCCCTGAGGCTAATTCTGGACCTCTTTGGTCATTTAAAAATCAATACACTTAACTACAGATTAATTATGTAAAATGATAATTATATAATTCTGCTGTTGTAGTGTGATGGAAATAAAAACGTAATTATACATTATTAATTTAATGAATAGATACTCATGAAATATGCATTGCTATGCACATGTGCATAATTTATAAAACCTGAGTTTGTCAGAATATATTAAACATCAAATTTCTATTTACAATTTTTTTTATGCATATATAATTTTGTTGGTATTAACAACTTCCTTCTTTGCAGATGCTCATTAAAAAGCGATTGCTACAACCCTACAGACATTCGATGGTTGAACAGTCCAAAGCAAGAAAGTAGATGTCTCGAAATCCTTAACGTCTCCCCACCAATGCTCCACGTCACACAAAACATCACTGTAAGAGCTGAATTTTATATTTTGTTGTGTACAGCAATTTTTGTTTCTCCTTAAATATATAAGATTCCAAAGTGCGATGGTGACGCCAAAGTCCAAAGGTCTCACCAACCCCGATGGCTCGCTGTCTTTACGAACGCCAAAGTCCGATGCCTCGTTTTCTATAAAACACGTTGTAAAGTGCAATGGTCTGATAAGCCAAAGTCAGATGCTGCGAAGAAACAATGTTTATGACGTCACAATTATCTGACGTCATAACGTTGTCCTGCATTCGAAATCCAATGAATTTGTATTTGTCTCGCATACAATTTTACTGATTTTGCTTATTGTTTTCGTCCACCAGAGCTCTTAGGGTTAGTCCTTGTACAATATTTGACTGATATGTGTTAGTTTTTGAACACTAATGTGTTTTTTCACCCGAAAGATTTTATGGTTAGTCCTCACACACTATTTGACAGATTTGGGTTAGTCCTGCACCCATCCAAGATATATAGCTGATAGTTGTTACACATTTTTTCGACTGATAAGTGTTAGTCTCGCACCTATATCCAAAAGATTAAGGTTAATCTTTGCATTTAATATTTATTTATATTTAACGAGGCCCGATCTACTTGATCTGTGCATACGTTTTAACGCAGCGTCGACTCAGGCACGTCACAATACCCTTGACTGCCGTCACAATTGAACATAATAACGTCACAATTAAAATGACGTCAAATTGCTCTAAAATGTTCCGCTGATCTTGCTTACCTGGTAGCTCTATATAGACTATGCATTGAAAGCTGCATTTCTATTTTAAATTTTTTTTTAAAATATTTAAATTAATAAACAACTTTGGAACCTAATTAACTTGAGGGATCAATTTTTTGGTACAGTTTCATTAATTTTATCCTGTTTTATTTCAATTTGTGAGTTTAAAAAAACAAACACTGTAACTCAAAGTAAACGATTTTAGTCTTTCTCTCTGAACATGTTGAAGTGTTTATACACAATCTTTTTATTGCGGACTTAAATATGCATGGATTATCTTCAGTTTTAAAAAATAAAATAAGTTTATAAATAATTTATTGAACCCCAGAAATATTTTATTTTCTATATATTACATGATATTAGTTCAAATCGCAATTTTGTCGCCTTTACCCCCCCCCCCTTCCTCCCTATACCCCTTTTTTCAACGTAAAACAACGTTGCGTGTTGAGAGAAAAATAAAGCATGAGCCATGGCGAGAAAATTATTTCATAATGTAGGAATTATTTATTTTTAAGAAACAAATACAGTATCACAATCGTTTGTTGGTGTTATGTAAACCCATTGCGACATATAAAATAGGTAGTTGGATAGAATAAATCCAAATTTTTTGTTTTGACATGCCCCTTTTCACTGCAATAAAGGCTACCTCCAATTTTCTTTTCATTTTTTATAAGAAGAATAAAAATTGCATAATATATGTGAAAAACAAAGAATTTCATCATGTATTTTTTTAAATTTGTAAATTTCTTTGCTTATTGAAGAGTCTTAGTATGTAATTGTGTATAAAACATGACAAATGGTCCATATCTTGACAGTGCCCCCATTTCACTACAATAAAGGCAAGGTAACAAAATTTCAATCTAATTTTTCTAAGCATAAAACATACAAGTATATTTCCAAGAACTAAAATTTGTCATCATTCCGTTTTCGTAATTTTCAACTAGATCCGGCCTCGTTCAATTAAACAATCAGGCCTTGGCATGGCACGGGATCGCATTTTTGCGCAATAGTACTATGACGTCATAAACGTTAATTGTTCTCAGCAGCATAAGACTTTGGCGTGTCAAACCATCGGGATTTGACGCAAACCGCCGGACTTTGGCGAGACCAACGGACTTTGGAGTCCCATCGCACTTTGGAGTTCTACAAATATAAACAGTATTGTGTAATTGTACGCTTTTGCACTAATATGTTGAGGTTGTCTCTTACTTGAAACCTTTTTTTTCCTAAGGGGGTTTTCCATTAGACGTTCAGTGTGTGTTTTTTTCCATTTGTCGCTTGGTGTCGCTTTCCAGCATTTAATAATTAGACCTTTATACTTTTAAGCGAGGTTCTCTCCTCAGTTTTTCAGCATTTATTCCCAAATTTTCTTGTGTTTTTCAACTTATTGGTGTTACGAGCTTCTTAGGATCCAATCTTAAAGTTTCGTGTCTTTCTTCAAGATAGGAACATCAACCCAATCTTAGGTACCGGTTTTCTTGGTTATGTTCTCTTTTGCTTCGCTCAGCCGAACCTAAATCATTTCCTGTTTTAGTATACAATAAATCAAACACAGAATATAGGATAAGACATAGTTAGCCATTTCATTCAATCTTCATTCAATAATTCATTCAATATCTGAAAAATACATTGAAGCAGCAAAAATAATTTAAAATATAATTTAAAAATAAAAAACTTGGAAGTCGTTGGCTAACTTTTGTCGAGTGATTCCAATAATCGATTCCAAGATTTAAATACACTAAACCAAATGCCTGCAAATTACTGCGATAAACAAATAGTGCCACTTAATATTACCAACATCACAAACAATTTAAAGACCCATAAAGTCTAGTGTATCAAGCGCTAGCCTTCCAACCCAACTTAAATCCACTGTGGGACGCGTATCTTTGTACTTTTAAAAAAAAAACAAAAAGAAATATATTTACACTATATTACCATTACAAACATAAATAAAATCTGTTTATTAGATATATATTTCTTATACCTTACTACTTTATTAAGGTCAAACATTTTCATTGTTTTCTTAAGTTGTTGATCGAGTTTTATGACGTAGTGCCTATCATTAAAATAGCTAAAATCTACATTTTTCAAACTTATCCAGGTGTTACCATGGCAACCAAGACACATACCAACGGAGTTTTATTTGAAACATGTTTCTGGTATCAAGACGGGGTAAAGTTTCGTTAGAATTGGTGTTCAACCGTCAGAAAGTGGTTTATAAATAATTTATTGAACCCCAGAATTATTTTATTTTCTATATATTACATGATATTAGTTCAAATCGCAATTTTGTCGCCTTTACCCCCCCCCCCCCCTTCCTCCCTATACCCCTTTTTTCAACGTAAAACAACGTTGCGTGTTGAGAGAAAAATAAAGCATGAGCCATGGCGAGAAAATTATTTCATAATGTAGGAATTATTTATTTTTAAGAAACAAATACAGTATCACAATCGTTTGTTGGTGTTATGTAAACCCATTGCGACATATAAAATAGGTAGTTGGATAGAATAAATCCAAATTTTTTGTTTTGACATGCCCCTTTTCACTGCAATAAAGGCTACCTCCAATTTTCTTTTCATTTTTTATAAGAAGAATAAAAATTGCATGATATATGTGAAAAACAAAGAATTTCATCATGTATTTTTTTAAATTTGTAAATTTCTTTGCTTATTGAAGAGTTTTAGTATGTAATTGTGTATAAAACACGACAAATGGTCCATATCTTGACAGTGCCCCCATTTCACTACAATAAAGGCAAGGTAACAAAATTTCAATCTAATTTTTCTAAGCATAAAACATACAAGTATATTTCCAAGAACTAAAATTTGTCATCATTCCGTTTTCGTAATTTTCAACTAGATCCGGCCTCGTTCAATTAAACAATCAGGCCTTGGCATGGCACGGGATTGCATTTTTGCGCAATAGTACTATGACGTCATAAACGTTAATTGTTCTCAGCAGCATAAGACTTTGGCGTGTCAAACCATCGGGATTTGACGCAAACCGCCGGACTTTGGCGAGACCAACGGACTTTGGAGTCCCATCGCACTTTGGAGTTCTACAAATATAAACAGTATTGTGTAATTGTATGCTTTTGCACTAATATGTTGAGGTTGTCTCTTACTTGAAACCTTTTTTTCCTAAGGGGGTTTTCCATTAGACGTTCAGTGTGTGTTTTTTTTCCATTTGTCGCTTGGTGTCGCTTTCCAGCATTTAATAATTAGACCTTTATACTTTTAAGCGAGGTTCTCTCCTCAGTTTTTCAGCATTTATTCCCAAATTTTCTTGTGTTTTTCAACTTATTGGTGTTACGAGCTTCTTAGGATCCAATCTTAAAGTTTCGTGTCTTTCTTCAAGATAGGAACATCAACCCAATCTTAGGTACCGGTTTTCTTGGTTATGTTCTCTTTTGCTTCGCTCAGCCGAACCTAAATCATTTCCTGTTTTAGTATACAATAAATCAAACACAGAATATAGGATAAGACATAGTTAGCCATTTCATTCAATCTTCATTCAATAATTCATTCAATATCTGAAAAATACATTGAAGCAGCAAAAATAATTTAAAATATAATTTAAAAATAAAAAAACTTGGAAGTCGTTGGCTAACTTTTGTCGAGTGATTCCAATAATCGATTCCAAGATTTAAATACACTAAACCAAATGCCTGCAAATTACTGCGATAAACAAGTAGTGCCACTTAATATTACCAACATCACAAACAATTTAAAGACCCATAAAGTCTAGTGTATCAAGCGCTAGCCTTCCAACCCAACTTAAATCCACTGTGGGACGCGTATCTTTGTACTTTTTAAAAAAAAACAAAAAGAAATATATTTACACTATATTACCATTACAAACATAAATAAAATCTGTTTATTAGATATATATTTCTTATACCTTACTACTTTATTAAGGTCAATTATTTTCATTGTTTTCTTAAGTTGTTGATCGAGTTTTATGACGTAGTGCCTATCATTAAAATAGCTAAAATCTACATTTTTCAAACTTATCCAGGTGTTACCATGGCAACCAAGACACATACCAACGGAGTTTTATTTGAAACATGTTTCTGGTATCAAGACGGGGTAAAGTTTCGTTAGAATTGGTGTTCAACCGTCAGAAAGTGGTTAAAGTGGTTACAGAGAATGGCTATTAAAAGTTTTTTTTATAGATTTTAAAAGTATATTCATATTTGGTACTTATTCGAGAGGTTTAGTTACATGTTATGCGACAAACTTGTACGGGTAACG